CCCCGGTCGCATCCTCGTCTCTCTCCTCCTCCTCCTCTCTCTCTCTCCCTTTCTCTCTCCAGACTGGTCGTCTTTCCGCCCCTCTAATCTCGGCTTTCTCCCTGCAGGAACTAATGGCCTGTAGTGGTTCGTAAATTCGATCGTCGATACCCGGGGACAGCCGGTTCCTCTTTTACACCCCCTTCCTACGGATGACGATGCTCCTCTTCCAGCTTCTTCTCGTATCTCTGCGTCGGAGGATCGCGAGATATCCTCTTATATTCGATAAAATAACGATTAAACTGCGGATGTTTTCATTCTCAGAGTTTTATTCTTTTTTTTTTTTTTTTTTTCAAAATTCGACGTAACTCTCGCAATAATAATAATTGTCGAAATATTTTTCTCGCTCATATTTCGATTTGAGGAAAAATATGATACGCATGAACATACTTGAAAGGCGAGATAACGAACAATCAAAGAAATGGTTAAACTGATATGTAAATAAATATGTAAGAATGTTGGGCAGTTAATGGATCGTGTTAATGACGCTAGTATCATTGATAGTATTAATGATGATGGATATTTAGAAAAGTTACGTCTATTCTTTTTTAAATATCCAAAAATCCTTGTACGAATATTTATCTTATCCTTCTGATAATCTGAATTGTTCTAATTCAAAATATAATCTAACGTGTTCAATTAGTAACTCAAGGTTGCAAAAAACATGGTTTGTGAAGCCTATAATTAGCCTATAATTACACGTATAGTATGACTATATACATATTATCGACACTATACACTGTTATGGGAGAGTTTACCGATAGGATGAATTAATCTAACGATTTTCCATATGATTGTGTAACGCGTATGTAAATAATGTATTTTTGCATATAATTATAAATATCAATATGCAAAACATACTTATTACGCGAAAGATGGAAAATAAAATATGTATTTGCCCATTATTGCTCTACCTGTTTTCTATAATAATATATATTTATGTAAACATCCGCAGTCTAATATCGTTGGTAATTTTTTGGCAAAATGTTTGGATTTTTTGAGAAGGGAGAGAAGGTTGGTATTACGGTGAGATTCTTTTTTTTTTTTTTTTTTTTAGGTTTGATGGAGGGGTGGTAATCTTGTCGCGGTGTCGAGTAAATGTTTGATGGATCGAGTTTGCTTCTAGATAAGTTTCCTTTTTTCTCTCTCTCTCTTTCTCTCTCCATTTCAGAATTATATGGATTGGATTTTATCCCGATGAGATAAGTTTAAATTTGTTACTTTTCCTTCTTTTCATCGATAATGATTTATGTATCTTTAAGAAAATTTAAAATTGAGAAAATATAATTTCGTTTTAGACGGATAGTTGATATCGAAAGTTATTTTCGCTTAGAGAGAAGAATTTTGCGATGACTCGTAGCATTTATAAAATTTATTTTCATCTATGGAAAACAATAGAAAACATTGAAATCGAGATGAAACTTTTTACATTTCATACATGAGTTTCGATTTTTAATAAAACTGGACAGATTTACAACACGTGTATGCATGCACGTTGCTCGCGTTGCACGCGAGTTAACGCCAATATTGTCGTTGAACTCGGTGGATTCTACTATAACAATTGAAAATTCTGTAAAAACTGTTTATTTGATTCCCCCTCCCCCCTCCCCCCTCCCCGCATTTACGCACGATTTCAACCCGAATCCGTTTCACGAATAAAATGAATATTTGTATTATTGCGACCGAATACTTTTAACATCGCATTTCCATGGATTTATGTAAACTTGATTAATTTCGTACGCAGCCGATGTTGCGTATGTCATTTAGCAACGGTGTATTAAATTAAATAACGATTTAATTACACGTACGAGAATAAATTTTCAAAAGTACACGAATGTGTAAATTCTCCCATACGTACGGAATATTAAGTTGTCCTATAATTTTGTCAGATTATTTGGATTTTCTCTGGTATTAATTGTTCGTCAAAAAACGAATATTAATTATTGGCGGGACAGATTTACTTTCGTTGAATTTTATTTTACTTTTGATTATATTCAATGTGGAATATATCCAACATAATATTATTGAATCGTTAAGAAATTATTCACGATTGTCGATGAGCGTATATATATATTAAACTTGTTTGATAGAAAGAATTTCATTTCTAAGTCAAGTGACATAGAATTTTTTTTTCTTTCTATAAACTGTGTTAGTATTTTTTTTTTCAAAAATGAGGTATTTATTTTAATTACAATATGAATTTTAAACGTATTAATCTTTTCAAAAATTACTTCTTTCTAGATGAAATATGTGTATGTTAGAAGATCAAGTGGAAATAATTTAAATAGATAAATAAAGATAAAAGACAAATAATATTATACTTTAAAATGCTCAAACATTTATTTTATCAAAGTTTGACGACATTTCTATTTTTGCAATTAGCAAATAACCATTTCTGCCCACATGATAAATATTTGCCTTGAAATAACAAATAACTTGAGTATGCGAAACACGCTCGTTCAATTAAGCTTTCAAAACATGTTGCAAAACATGTTTATTTACTTAAATGATTCCAGAATGCAAAATACGTACATTCGCTTCATGTTTCTTCAAATATGTCGAGAGATATGTCCCAATACCACTAAGTGGAAATTTATCTACTTATGATAATAAATTTTATAAATCTCTACGAATTTATCTTCCAAACGAACATTTTTCTTTCTAAAATTCATCTTCAAATCTTAAGATCAATTAAATGCATTTTAAGAAAAATTAAATTTCTGAAATATTCTCTTCTTAAATTAAAGCTTAAAAGATATTAATAAAAATGATCAGAGATATCGTTTTAAATTAAACGAAATAAATTACAATCCTTTGCATTATTGAAAAATTTATAATATCTCAGAATTCTTTTGTAATATCAAAAAACATAATATTCCCTTGAAACACTAAACTAATATAAGAAACGAACCATAATTAATTGAAATAAAAATTGTATAAAATAATCATAATTTTTACAACAGATCTTAAATTCTAAAATTCTAAAACGATTAATATTAATTGTAAAATATTCTATTCCAAGATGAAACATATGTATAACTTCTTTTTTTTTTTTTTTTTTTCATAAATTATATCTTATTTTAAAAATAAGAGATGAGAAAAATATAGAAATCAAATCATATATCAATACGCCACAACAAAACCACAACAACTTAATCACGAGTTGAACACTTGAGAATTTAATTCGATTCGATTTAGATTCGAAACGAAGCCAGTGAATGTAAAGGCGTGTAATCCAAGACAGGAGAAACCACCTGTAGCGTCGACTCATACATATGTACGCCTAGTAAAAGTTCGCAATTCTAGTCTCTTTCCTTCCGTTTCCTCTCGACTCGAGTCTCTTAACTTGTTAACCTTCAACCGGCGACTGCGTGAATTTTCAGCATCTCTAATAACACCAGCTTATATATATATATACATATATGTATTTCTCGAAGTAAAAGTCCGTTTTATCAATATAATTACTCTAATATTTAGTTATTTGTTAAATTTAATAAATTATATTTATATTTTTAACTTATTATATAATTAATGAAAAATTAATAATCGATGGAAAACTTATGTATGACTTTTAGTTTTGTAACCATTACGTAATAACAATTTCACTTTGTGAAAACCGTTTTGTTTATTGAATCGTGAAATTTAAAAGTCTGCTCGAATTAAATGTGTTTCCATTGAACCGTGTGCTCGCGATAGAAGTGATTATATATTCTGTTTCTTTTTATTTTCTGTTTTGTTTTTGTATATCAGAGTTATAAAAGAGGAAGCATGAAGGAGATAAGGATTAATTTACGATATTAGGATTTTCTCGATTATTACTTCCTGTTAGCAAATAATTGTCCGAACCTTAAGACAGTGATAAGAAATATGACAAATATATTAAATGTTGACAAAGTCAAACCTGTTTGATTCTCACTGATAAAACTCTTAACGTATTCTAATAAACTACATGCTTTATATACAATATTTTCCTTTTTTTTTTTTTTTTACATTGATTGCATTTTAAAGACACACATGCCACAAGATAATTTGGAAAATTGACAAATTAGCTGGCCATACCTGAACAAGCTTGCGGTGGTAAGGGGAAGATTAAGGTGGTCGATGACTTCCTTCGGGCAACTGCGCAGCCTAAACTTTGTGGTTTGAAGCTGCGCAACTGCTGCATGAAGTCCGAGCACTCCATCAGCGCCACGTCAGCGAAGTGAAGATCGCAAAGTATTTGGTTCTTGAACCTGTGAAACAGAAGGAATTAATGATCTCTCTGTATCTATAAATAAACGCACCATCGAGCAATATTTTTCGAATTAATAACGACGAGCTTGTTACACGAGTATAACGAGCTGATGGAAAAATTTCTTCTGATTCCCGATACGATATCTTTTTTGTTAGCTGAAAATTGTTAGCTTCCTGATTGATTTGTTCCATTTCACTAATTTTTTTTTTTTTCTTTTCTTAAATTTGTAATCTTACCGTTGCTCGTTAGAATATTTTGTAATTGACGATGAAATGAAGATTTAATAATTGTATGATATTATCTTCGTGTTTGATATTGCGAAATATTATCCAGATTACGAGAATTTCATATTTTATAAATTTGGAAAAACTTTTTTTCTGTCTTGTTTTTGTATTTCCATTTGGCAAAGATTGGTCTTTTGTTATTTAATACCATTTTGTGAAATGTAAAAATATATCTTGTGTTATTTTAACTCGTGTGTTATGTTAATAATAATCTCTATTATTATAAATTAAGAGATGAAGTTTAAATTTACTGTAATCATATTTCTCACTTTTACTTGTTTTTATTGAATTTATAAATATTTAAAAAGAAATTTTAGAAAAAGTTTTATTCCCATGTGGACAAATATTGTTCTTTTCTTACGAGATGCATGTTTATTTTGTAAAAATAGCGCAAGTTGTATACTGTATGTTTTATGTATACAATATATCGGTTGGGAAAATATTTATCTCAGCGGTTCAATTAAATTGTATATTTTTATAGGTCGACGATCAATAAAAATAACAGCTTCTCCCTCGGGATATAATATGAAATGAAAACTGCAATCTTTTTATTCCTATAATTTAATAACATTTGCGCAATTGTAATACTTTATATCTTTTGATATGATACTCACCTTATCATTATGTTTCATATTACTTTATTACTGAAGAATATATCACTTTATGATTTTAGATTAAAGAAAAATAATTAATAAATATCAATTATTTTCTTAAGAAACGATTAAAAAAATAAGCAATAAATCTTAATGATTTATGTCAAATAAATAATTTGAAAGATATTTAACGTATAATAATCTATAAAAAAATTCCATAATTAATAATTCCATACGTAATTGTTAATATTAATATTACATATATAATATAATATTGATATTAATATTACAAAATATGTATTGAATAAAATGTGCAGAGCTGCAATTTTTTTCTATAAGAAAGAATTGGCAGAAAGAGAATTTCCATTTATAAATAAAAAATATCGTCCTCAAATTTTTCTTCCAGAACATATTTCAAATTACCTTTTTATTATTCCATGCAATCTTCGCATCTATTCACATGTGCACGTTTAACTACTTCACTTGCATGAAATAAAAAACACACACGACACAATTTTCGTTTTATCGATCCTCGAATCAAATGCATCTCGGGAGTCACGATCGGGCGAATACCGATTCCAACAGCCATGACGTTTTTCCATGTCACGTGGAAATACATTTCGCGATGGAAAAATTCTTTTGAACGAAAACAAACCGCGAGGAAATGAAGATCCTCAATCTAAAAATTTTTATTAGGAAAAGTCGATCCGTGAAACGTCAGCCTTTTGTATCAGCTTGAAATAACAAAAATATCGTGAAAAGTTTCATTATCTGTTATAAAAATAATCCAAAATATGGATAAAAGAAATTTTGTTGATTTACCCGCGAACGATTGTATTGTTTATAAAATTCATGATTAAAGCGATTGAAATGAAGTTTTTCTTTTATTTCTACGAGTGAATATAAGAACGAAGAAGAACAAAGAATATGAGAATTATTACATTTATATTTTCTTTTTAATTTAATTTAGATTTTAGAATATGTTTCGTATATACATGAAAGTTTTGGATAAAATAATATATGAAAATTATTTGTCTTTATGAATAAATATAAGGATACGTGGAATTATTTCAACGAATATATATATTGAAATGTATATATATATATATATATTATTTTTTTTTAGTAATTTAATTTAGATGAAAATATATGTTTTGTATTTATATGAAAGTCATAGGTGAAGTGAAAATGAAAATTTTGTATTTTTTTTTTATGGATGAAAGCAAGAACGTATTATACAGTATGATATAGTATTATTAAAACTTCAGCAATATTTATTTTTGAAAATGATATAAATTCATGAATAATTATTGGTGATTATCACAAGAAATACTAATTCGAGATAACTGATATCTTGTTTGACCTTTTTCTTTCTGGACATCAACAAGTATTTCGATTGCCCGATAATTTCTTAATGAATTGATTTCATGTTTTATGCATGCATATTCTATTTTCTTCATTTCAAAAAACTGGTTTATGTTGCCAACAATGTTGCCTTTATTTAAACGATTCTATACATATTCTACAATATTTAGATCATAGCTATATTTATTACAACATTTCTAAAATCTTTGTAAAGATTCATTTCCATGTAATATTGTGAATGATACGCTCATTTCCTATTATACGACAACTACTGTGAATACGGTATAAGATTTTTCCATTTTGATATTATTGAGAAACTGTATTGTTGCCTGCGAATTCATGAAATTGCATTAAAATGTAACATTGTGTAAAAAGCTTTTATACATATATATATTCCGTTTTAAAAATACTTTGCTTTAGTTGCAATCAAAGAACCATAATGGCTTCGAATATAACATACAATGGTAAAAAACTTCTTATTTGCTTATTTCTTCACGTAATACAACTTCCATTAGAATAAAGTATAATGTTGTTGTTGTTATAATACAGAAGAATCGAATCGTAAATTTATATTTTTGTTGTAAACAAAATATATAAAATTATATAATAATTACAAAAAATTAAAAAAGAATCAAATTATGCGCTCAATTTGTTAATTAATACAAAATATTAAACGAATAATTACATTCATCTTAAATATACAAAATTTTGATGATAAGAGTAATATTTAATAAGATGCAAAGATTGCTTAAATCACTCACCGTCTAGCCCGTTTCTGATTGGGTCCTGTGAGATTCAAGCCGCAGCTGTTACATTTTAGACATTCCTCATGGTAGTGATTGTTGTCGTACAGTGGTGATGGTTCTTGAAAAAAATAAAAGGAAGAAACGATTAATTGTTTTTTAATCCTTTTACGAGAATAATTCAATATAATGATATCGATGTATCGATACAATTTAATAAAAAATTCACTGCACGTAGCTTGATATATGGAAATTTTTGAAATGATTTAATATGAAATATGGTACATGTAAAATAAAATATGTATCTAGATCATTCTGTGATCAAAATAATGAGGGTTGAAAAAGGTTGAAAAGGGTCGAAAAGGATTTAATCAAACGATTACCTGATCATAATTTTAAATATTTAATAAATCTTAATATAAAAGGAAAACTGTTTATTAAGTAAAATTTGCCGGTGAATTTTCTTCCATAAACTTTGAAATTTTAGAATCTAATCTAGCATAAAAAATTAAAAGGAAGAGAGAGAGAGAGAGAAAGAAAGGAAAAGTTAATAATGTGAATTGAGAGCAAACACAGCAGAGCAGCTGTTTAAAATTCTCATAGGTATTCGTCCACTTTGATCCAAGTCTTTTCACTTTCTCGTTGATGGCATAATTTTCGTGGAAATTATTCCTTTGAATGGAGAAAGTTTACAGAATTAATAAAGCCCGAGTGCGAAATGAATTTGCAATGGTTAATCCAAAATCAATAGAACTTCCATTTATATCTCGTTAGATCTATTAAATTTCGACTTACCGGAATTATTAGACATTAACTGTATCTGTAATTTATTCAAATTTGCTCTAACTTGAAATAAATCAGATTTATTATTTATTTTATTCTTCTTTATTTAATATAATATAAATCTCTTTTCTATAAATATTCTTGAAATAACTATTGAAAGATCAATAGTTTCTGTGATATTTCAAATTTTATTTAAAGCAAACATACGTGCGATTCAGGATTTAAAAATTAAATTATTATCTATAAAAATAGAAAATGGTTATATCGATTCAGTTTTACGAAAAAATAAAATAAAAACCTAAATGAATGTCTTTTGAATCTTTTGAATCATGTTCTTAATTGAAGTAAATATCTCGTTAAGAATTTGAAATATGTTAAATATCAACTTCATTACAACGTTGTTCCCTAATATTTCCAATATTTTCAAAATATTTCCATAATATACGCGAATATTTCTAATATCTACGTAAGAAAATTATTTTGCAACTTGAAAATTAAATCGAAAAATTTTTCTCTTTATTTTTTCTATTACTTTATCCTTTATCTTTTTTTTATCCAATTCTATTTTCTGTTCCTAATAAAACATCGGATATAATCTTGTTCAATTACAAACAATAACATTCGAGCCTTCTTACTTAAAATTATCACTTCTATTAAACTTTATCGAACGACTTTGAAAATCTCACTAAAACAAAATCCGCAAAGCCTACATATCCGCCTCGATAATCCAATCAAACTAGCAAAAACGCCTGGAAAACGAACCTAATCCAACGTATTCGCAGAAGCAAGAAAAAAAAAATCATGTCAGCGATGCCTGATCGATCGCAGTCTCGCAGGATTAATACTATAAATCCTTGAAATTTTATCCTGTACAATAGAATTCTATTGGCAACCATTTTGATCGTACACACGATTCATTTAACGATTCTAATCAATACATTATATGCCAATGATAATAAATCAAACAAATCAATCTTTTTTAACTATGCCAATATTTTGAATGCTAATTTGTTTGATTTCATCTACAATAATAGTGGTTGATCTGAGCAAGTAGTACGAGTCAATATTTGATTCATTATCATACAACGATATAATATTGCATTATACTTTTTACAGTTATCTGTTACAAATGTTTGTCATGTTGCAACAATACGCTTACTATATACATGCAAATCAGCAACACCTTCCATTAATTAAATTACTTCTCTTCCTTCCCCTATTATTTGTCTCCAAAAAAAGAACTAGCTTCTCCTTTCTCGTTCAATTAAAGAAATTAAATTCAAGCATTCTTGATTTAATCACTTTAACAAAGGAAGAAGAAGAAGAAGAAGAAGAAGAAAAAGATCGAAATGGTTTGACAAACGTGATTCCAATATCAAATTAGATCAAATCCAATCGCAAGGCTATACTTTTTCTCGCATCCTCGATCGCCCTTCTTCGCCCCATGTTTTATAGTTAACGACCAACAGTCGAAGGGTGTGGCCTTCGATTCCCCTTCTCCCTTTTCATTTATCCTCCCTTTCTCTCCATCTCGCGGGGATCATAAAAAATTCCAACGCGTGCCGAGCACGGTATGTTGATATCAAAGAGAGAAGAGAAGAGAAGAGAAGAACGAGGTCGCCGGCGTCGTTCTCGTGAACGGCTAAGCGTCTAATTGCACGCACGCACGCGTGCACGTTCAAATGCTTCTCTGAATCGGGGCAGTGACCGGAAATTTACATTTTTATTGCCGCCACTCGGTGAATTCGAACGTTGGACGACTGATAAGGATGTAGGGCTCGGGATTGGGGATGATTTAGTAAAAAAAATTTTTTTTTTCTCTCCTTTCTTTCTTTCGTTTTTCGAAACGATTAAAGGAATTATGTATTCTTTTGGCTCTTGCGTGGAAGATATTGTATCGTAATTTGAACGAGAGAATTTCTTTTTATAAGATTTTCTTTTAAGGGGCTATTGATTCAAGAAGTATACGAGAAAATTGTTCTGACATTAGAAAGATATATTCTAGTTTGAATTAAAACATGGAATAAATTCGATGTTTTTAAAGTTTTTTTTTTTTTTAGAAATTTGATATGAATTATTGGAAAGATAAAATGTCATGGAATAAATTGCGAATTCTGAATTGTATGACGAATTGTTGTATAATGAATATTAATCATAGAAAGGAAAAAAGGATAATCCTTTTTTAATTGGTAAAGAAAAAACATAAAGCTAATTGCAACAGATTCTGAAGTTCGATTGAACGGTACTTATATAACATAATTTAAAAAATTGATACCGTTGAAACATTTTTATTTGATATAACGATAAAAGCAATTACATACATTGTACAGAACATACATACAAGATGAGGATACACGTAAAAATGAAGACGAAACAAAAAAACTTTTCTCTTGAAAATGAAAATACGTTTCATCAGATAAAATGTGATATAACAAGATTCTTTTTATCTCGACCAATAATCTTCTTTCGTAAATCAGAGGATATCTTGAATTATATCTCGCTATGCAATTAACTCAAAAACTTTACAAAATAAATATAAACGATATTTAAAAAAATGACTCGTTAAACAACTAATAAAATGTATAAAAAGAAAAAAAAACAATACAAGTAACAAAATAACTACGCAATCAATGTACCAATGAAGTAACAGAGAATGAAACTGAAAAGGAGAAAAGAGAATCACGCAACTTAAAATCTGTTCGACTTCATGTCACGATCGATTAAACCAGAATCCAATAACGTGACGCACACGGAAGAAATCGCGTGAAACAGGAAACGTTTCCCTCGAACTGGAAAAAGTGCTCTATGTGGGACAGGAAATTGTTGATTCGAAGTCCCGGAGATGCTCAAGTCCCCGGGTTTAATCGATACCGTACTGTTAAAGCAAAATTAAATCTCTATCTCTCTCTCCCCCCTCTCTCTCCCTTATTTTGCACGCCTACACAATCTGCAATCTACCCACTACTATCACGAAACGTACGAACAGCTAGATTGTTCAAGGGTTAACGCTCTCGTAAGCAGGAAGTGAACTTTACGTGCTGATCCGCGACGAGCGATACACGAGATAAAGTTCGAAACTTGTAAAAGGCGCGGCTGATAAAGCCCGATTAATTAAGACACCTGAGGGGGATGATAAAGCGTGATACAACATCCGCGAGGAAACGAGCGATGTTAATAGCGCCTTTGCAAAATCGTTCCACGTTATTTCGTTCATGGTTGGACGATGAAATATTTTGAGAGAATGGAATTTGAAAAAATTTCAAATTTCCAAGAATTTAACAATTAATTTTCGATTGGAAAATTTGAACATATGTTTATTACGAAATTAATTTTTAATTTTGTAGATAGTTTATTCGAATTGTTGGAATTATAAATTTAAAAAAAAAATGTTGGAATAAGTCAAAAGAGGGTTTTTCATCTGTGCATTTAATTCCTTTTTTCGTGATCACGAAATACAATTACTTTTTTTCTTTTAATACAAAATCAAATCATTGACACCCCATTTTTAATTCCTTAAGTGATTCTTCAACTCTTTCTTGAATTTTCAATGAATTTTAAAATTAATTCTTATTGATGAAAATATTATATGATAAATCATTGCTGTACGCAAAACAGAAATAAAAGTTGCTCAATAAGAAACTTCTTTGCAAACGATTACATACATCGTCCATAAACGTGGCTTTTATTAAAGGCTGTTTGATATTCTGTCGTAGTTTTCGAAACCATTGCTTCTTTTAGAAGCAGGGATAAGAGTATGGAGGGAGAGGGAAAAAAAAATGTCCTTTATCGCCTCCACCTCGATCAGGACTTTTTTTAAAAGAGGCTCGTTCGACGAAGAGGACCGGAAAATAATCGTAAATAACGAAAATTGCCCCACTGGAAGAAGTCTCTAACTCATGAGGAATATTTGTTGCGAGAACAATTGTAGAGAACAAAAATTAAGGGAAAGGTTAGATGATACTTTTCTCTTTGAAGAATCGATGCTTTTTAGAATTAATGACGAAGTTATAATTTTGTATAATTTAATTAGAAAGTATTGTTTTTTTTTTAAAAGTTTATATTCATTTTTTCATATTGATGTCATTTAAAATAATTAGGAACATCCAATTGTTGACGAAGAAACTATGTACTTTCCGATTAACACCATTACCATATTCTTCCACTTCGGTAGCCAATATGACGAGAATCCACGCTTTATTGACAAATTTGTCGAACTATTCATTGACATTAAATTAACCTAGTCTAGTTCAAGCTTCAAATCTTCAAAGCTTCCATTAGAAATCTTAATTTTTAAGATTATTCGAATAAAAAGGATCAAATAAAACGAACCTTTTTTTG